GCAGTTAAACCACAGAGGAGCCAGACAGCTCATTCCTTATACTAGAACATTTGTGATGTTTTTCACATTCAAACACAGTGAATTACAGTAAACCAGAATGAAAGTGACAAAGGAGTTCTGTGCCTTTGCTTGACGGGAAGAAGTTAGGGTTTTTTGGACTGCAGCTGCAATATGGGTGATTAGCTCCAGAAATGAGGCACAGGATGCTGTAGATTTATGCTGCTTGGAAGAAGGGGTCAGGAAAGAAAGTGATGTTGCTATGACTTTCATTGATGGGGCAAAAAATGTGCAAAGGGGCTTTTGCTCACTCTTGCCAACATAGCTCAGATGGTCTTGTTTGGACCAGCTCATCTCTTGGTGCAGTTGTCTTAAGTGCTACTCTTACTGGCCTTCCTATGGAAAAGAAGGTACAAGGGTGACCTGGTTTGGGAAAATCAGCAAAATGTGTAGCACCTTTAAAAAAAAAAACAACAACCAAAAAAACCCCAACCAAACACAAAAAACCTGGAATGTGTTGATGTGCAGGGGAAAAAAGGCTGAGAGATTTTTGTGGGACTTTGAAGGAGAGGACCGTTGGAGAAAGGAAGCCGTTACTCACACCCACATCCAGAGCTCTGCTGGAAGGGAATGAAAGGAGCCATTAGAATTCAGTGCAATTTAAAGGAATAAATATTAACTTGAAATAACACTTTAAAATTAAACAGGTACTGCTGTGTTACTTAGAAGGGCTGAGGGGTGGTGGTGAATAGGAGCAGCAATGAGGCTCGATGGCCTCCAGTGATTTGTGTCCTCGTAACTTCTATCCTTGCTGTCCACGTTATTCAGAGTCCCTTTCAGTGTCACTGCTTGGTTCATGTGAAAGAATTGTGTTAGCGTTAGCATAAACCATAAAAGCAAGTTTATATGTGACCTGGGATCAAAGCTATTCTCGTGGGGTTCAGAGCAGCAATTCATCTGGGCCAGAAGGGATTTTGTAGGCAAACAAATGGGAAAATCCAGCTCCGGGACGGATGTTCTTATTCTCTAACAAAGATATATGCAGTAGTTGACAGCCTAATGTCAAGTTCTGGTTGTATTAATGTGGGTGAGAATTTTGCCGTAGCTTTCCTTGGAGTCTGGGGTTCATCCTGCAACCTGAGAGTCTGAGTGCTGGTTTGGGGCTTTTGTGAGAAGTTCTGCATAGAGAAATGCAACATCCCGTCCCATTCACCTGAGAAGGGTGGCAATCTGGCCAGGCTGTGCATGAGCATCTAAGTGTCCTTGTTTATTTACAAAATATTTCATGTCAAAAAACCTGCTGATATTAATTTTCTCCCCACCCACTCTTTAACTTTTTTTTGTTTTAATTACAGGAAGAACTTATCCAAATACTGTTTAAAAATATACCAGCAGATGGCTTTACTGTTAACAGTACAGTGTGTGATGTGGAAGTTTAAGGCTTCATTTGTTTTACATGTATTTTCGTAAAGCACTGACCGTTTAATCTGTAAAAGGCTGATTTAAAAATTTAATACAGCGTTTTAAAGGAACACGTATGTTCATAATGAATAAAGTGGTCACAGCAGAATCTTAATATTAATGCTTGTTGTTCCTCTGAAGATGGGAAAGAAATTCAGTGTCTAAGGCGCTGTATTTGAAAAACTTTTGAAGAAAACCAACCAACTTCTTTAAATATGATCACTTCCAGCTATTTGGAACAGATGTAGACTAGGAGCCAGGGATTTGACACAAAGGAGGAGGTTCAGGTTAGATTTTGGTTAGCGATGATCGTTGTTCAACATAAATACATAGTTGGACTCCATAGTTACAACTGCAAACAGACTTATGGTGAACAATAGTTGCTTTCAAGCTGCTTGAGGCCTTTTTAGAGTACAGCGGTACATTGCTGGGAGAATAAAAATGGAATCAAAGTCTTCTCTCTCATCAGAATTTCTCTATGAAACTTAAGAAGCGAAAGTTGTGATACTTCAAGTAAGTTATTTTGAATACTTAGAAACCCTTAATATATTTTTAGCAAGGTACAGTTAATTTAAGAGACAAGGACTATATTTGTCTGTAAAATGCAGGTAATCCCTTTTTTTCCTGCGCATGCTTTTTTTTTTTTTAAAGTATGTTTTAAAGTATGTGTTGTAAGTTCAAATGTTTTTTCCTATGAATTCAGCTATAGCATGCTATTGAGTAGATCCTGTGTTTAAAGGAACTGAGATCTTATTTTTTTCATAACATAAAAACTGATCTGCAGTTTTTGGCAGCTCAGGATTTTAAAGGCAAACCAATCTACTAGAAGGAACAACAAATTTCTTGAGCTAGGACCTCCCAGTATGCCCGTTTGGGTGGCCCTGGCTGATTATGGCCTGTGAAAATGCATGGTAATACATTGGAGTGGTTTTGGTTACTGTTAAAGAGTTTTGCTTAATTAAGAAATGTAAACAGTATGCCTGTGTTTATTTGTAAATTATGAATGCATATGTATTTCAAGTTCTCATACTGGGATGTTCTGTGAAAAAGCCCTCACAGAAGTAAGCAATAGGTAGCAGCTTTGAGTGATGAATTCAGAAATAGCAAGTACCCTGTGGACTACTGCAATAGCTGACCCTAAGACACAGAGACAATTAAAGATATATCAATAATTATACTGCAAAAGTATTTGGAAGGGTCTCCCAGGACTGTTTTTATAAGGTACTTTATATGATTGGTGTTGAAATTATTAGTAATAGTGTCCCAAAGTTTGCAATAAGATTGGTTGGATAAGTGGAGATTATTTGTACTGAAAGCAAGGAAGAATTACTTTCTTTTACATCTTGCTAATAAGCTTATACCTCAAGTGCTGCTTCTCTGCTGGATTTTACGCGCGTCCTGCTTGGCCTTACTGCAGAGAGAGAGAGATTTACTTTCATACTCTGATGAATAGTATTTGTCAAAGATTTCCTTCCTAGATTAAAAGTAGGAACTTAATAAATAAATGCTAAACTTTCACTTCTGTTTTTTGAGTAATTCAAAACTTAGTATGTTACAGAAAACAAGAGCGGGGTTCTGTATTTCTTTTCTTTAAACCTTTCGTCCTTCCAAAGCTTTGTTATATCTCTCATAGAGGAATAAAAAAGCAAATCTTACAAGAATTAAGTTTATCTGGGTTACATGAAGAGAAATCTTGATTACTTGGTGATATGACTAGGAGCAATAAAATGAGCCTTTTTATTAAAAAAAAAAAATCCACATTTTAAAAAGTTTGTTCGTATATTCTGCAACTTCTGGCAACAGTGTGGAAGTGGTTTGCATTAATGAAAAAGAAGGGGGGAGGAGCATACTTACTAGGTTTTAAAATATATGGATTTCCATGCTTTTTAAAGAAGTTACTTAAAATACTATTCTGTGCCACGTAACTGGACCTTAGTTTTTAGGTGTAATTTTTAAAATTGACTGTTACAGGAAAACGTTGTAGGTTCTATATGGGTCCTGTTAGGTTGGCACATGGTTGGACTGTTCTCGTGCTAATAATCTCCTGTATGATTTAGAAGCACCAGGAAACAGCCAACACATTTCACAGACTGCTTCATTGCTGCAAACCAGTAGAGAGAGTGGCGAGTGCTTCCAGTCAATCTTCTGAAGATGCGCTTTTCTAGGCACAGACGGTGACTTTCTTTAACCTGCTACAACTGTGTTAAGCCTCTCATGCTATCACTAATGAAGAGCTGCTAATTTAGTCAATCTGTGCAAAACCATTAGTGGGACAGTGGTTTTTAAATTGCCTTGGATTGTCCAGATGAGCTCTTGAAACAGAGGGCTGTTGTGGCTGTGGAAAGTCTGAACATGTTGAATAAATAATCTTGTGTGCATTAATTGGATGATCCAGCTTTCCATTTAGCATTTCATTATTAAAAATACCAAGGTCATTCCATGCCTGTTTGAATCCTGCCTGGTTTAGAGCTGGGAATGGTAGGTCACGCTCAATGGAGAGAGATGAGCACACGCACTCTGTTAAACTCCAGGGAAGTGTCTGTTGGTAGGTGTCTTACTTTAAGTGTAATGCTTTCTGGTACTGAGTTTTGGTGACACAAAAGCAAGTTTATCACTTCCTTAGAAAGTCAAGTAGAAAGAAATATTGGCCTACTTTAGACAAGGAAAATTGGACACGCACAAATAAAAATTGGGGCAGAAGAGGCTAGAAAAAAAAAGTTGGGTTTTGGATTTTTTTTTCCTTGTATTCAGAACTTCTACAAAATGTCAATAAAGAATCTCAAAATTTTTTCTGAGCTACCAATTTTATGTCATTAATGTGTCAGCAAGTTCCTCTGTGAGCATTTTCTTGGTGAAGTTTAGTTACGTATTTGTTTCAATTCTGTACAACTCAAACCAACGAAACCCAGAAAACAAATATATGGACATCCATGTTTTATTATTTTGGAAATATAGTTCCCTGAATTTATGATATGAAATGATTTATTTAAAATGTAGAGTTTACAGAAAATATTTTCTTGGATTTTTGAAATGAATCACAGAAGTAAATAATTATTGATCTTGGTTCAAACGCACTGTGTGATTAACTAGCTCAAATCAACTTTATTAGTAAATCACTGGATAACTGGTATTTGATTTATAAACTGGTGCGGTGTTCACAGACAATTTGTAGCACATCATTGAATGCAGAGGGTTGGACATGAGCTTGCCAAGCTTTAGAATGAGTTGGTGTATTTATCCTAGCCACCTGTTTCGTGATGATAAGCATAGGTAATTAAATTTGAGTTATCTGTTTGAAGAACAAATTTATTTAGAGGGTCCTTTCGTGCCCACCTACCTGGCAGTATGTCCAGGTGACAGTCTACTGAATGGTGTTGCAGTTGATCTCTAGGGAGTTTTGCTTGTTTACATGTCTTAAATACAAACATGGAAATGATGAAAGCTGAAAATCCATCCTTCATGGGGGTCGTGGGCCAGGGGAGTGTCCTACTGGAACATACTGGTTTTGATGGAGAACGCTTTCTTTGCTTTGTGTCCATTAGGTTTTACTAAGGCTGCGTCTGCAGAGATGCCAGATAAAACACCAGGTGGTACAGAACCTGTCCCCAGGAGTGAAGGTTAGTAGTTTTCTTTCATTTTTTTAACTAAATATTGAAGAAAAACATTGTGATTTTGTGAAAACTTTAAGTCAAAAAGTGAGTTTTCCCTCCTGGTCTTATGGAAGAGCATGTATGTACGCACACTTACCTAGATAGCAGGAAATTTTCACTTATTTTTGTGTAACCTTTCTCCTCATTATATATTTTAGTACTATCATGGCTAGGGAGGGAGGGAGAGGGCCAATGTGCTGTTAGAATTTCAGCTTTGGAGAAGATGTTTTGTCCCCTTTCAATAAAGACATCTTGTTGACTGATGCCAGTTTTTCATATGGGATACTTAAGTCTCATAGAACCAAAGCTGACATTTAAGATGTGGGATGATTGATACAAGGAGGAATTGAATACACATCATTTTCACTAAAATCAGTGGAATCTTGAAAAGCTCACTTTTTCTGAAAATCAGATCATTTTTTTACTTCTAAAGGTCCATTAACTTTAAATTCTCACATGTGAAAGTTTGGCACTTGGCTTCAGGGAAAATTTATTCTTTAAAAACAATTATAATCCTGCTAACTTGAGTCATTCCTCCGAATCATGGCTGAATGTTTTATTAGAATATTTTATAAAAATTTGCTATTTCATGTGAAGGTTATGAGGTGTTTTTGACAGTTTTGTGGCAAAACTTATAGTAGCTCTCGTGTACGCTCACTTTCTAGGTCATTGCTGTCCTCACACAAGGACTGTATTCATTCAAGCGTGTGTTTTGTTTTGCATAAAGCTTGCAGCTCAGGACAGTTTAGACTGCTTTCTCTCTAAACGTAAAAATAAAAGTAAATTTTGACATCTATAAATATTTTCATTGCACTTGAACCTCAATTTTGACATTTGAAAGACATCAAGGAACATGCCGCAATAATAATTTCGAGAAGCACATCAATAACAGCAGAGAAACAAATTTATTTTGATGTAAAGGGTATTAAACTGTGCTTAACTTTCTATTAATTTCTTTTTTAAATTTACTGTAAAGCTTAACACATGTTACTATGAGAACTCTCAACACAAGGGGAGAAACAGTTGCAGTTAATCTTTCAAAGGCTGAGCTTTCTCTGATTCACGTGTTCTGTGCCCCCTTATAAATACATCCTTATGTTAGGAGGACCGTGATGAAGTCAAGTTACAATGAAAGCCTACACTTGTGCCATGAGTTAGGATGTGGAACAAATTGTCGTGTACCTTTCTGGTTGCTTCCCTAAAAATAACTTACGTGATCAGATCTGTGGCTCTCCTAGGTATTAATGAAGTGTAAATGTGTTAAAATCGCACCAATTATATATATGTTATATATTGAATTTCTTTTCTGGCTGTGGAAGAGTGGCAGATACTGCCGTGTTTCAGCTCTCCAGCCTCCAGGAGGAGTTCTGGTAAATGAAGTGAGACATAGGGATGATGTGAAACTTCCAGATCAAATCTGGGGAAAATTCACTCTGTCTGTGAAAGGTAAACTTATTTTCTCTTATTGCATTTTAATTTGCCACATAAGCAACTTCCAGTAAGTGAGTTGTAAGGTTTGCTTTGGCTTTGCATCAGGAGTTAGAGAGGGTAGGACTTGAGATAGCACAGAGCTGATGGTGGGCTGGGGGAAGGAAGGGGAGGGAATGGAAAGAATCCTGCAGAGCATCGTTAGTGATGGAGTTACCGATGGCATCATGTGGCCATCTAACAAAGATTGATTCTCCTCCTCACGCTGGCAGTCAGAGATTGATTGCCTGTGAAGAGGGATGGGTGAGGACTGAGAGACAGCCTGTGCATCTGTTAGAGACTGAAAAGACAAGAGTCTTTGAGGTTGGGACATCTCAGGTCCCAGTTTCCAATCTTCCAATCCATTCTGCTAGTTCCATCCCCAGATTTGAAGGTTGAAACTGAACACATGATTGCTCATGTCTAGGTACAGGAGAGGGAGGCAAGGAGCTGCTTGTTTCATTTTATTTTTAGAAGACTCATGAAGCCTTCAGCAATCTCCGTTTCAGTGAATGTGGTTTCATTTTGCCAGGACTGCCAACAGGTACATAAAGTTCGAGAAACATTTTTGCAGTTAAGCAGGGATCTAGAAACTGCTTTGAAAATCTTCTTCAGTACCTTCAAGGTTTTTCTGTTTTTTCAGTAGCTTCTGATATCTGCCTAATCAAGCAGACACATGATAATTTGTAGGACACTTGAAACAGTTGTTTTTTGTATAGCAGTAACACATCTTTAGGTATTTAGATGGATTATTAGTGATGTTGGCAAAGTAAGAAATTCATACATTAAAATATAGATAATTAAAATTATGGATAATGTCAGGTCTTCATTTTGAAATTACAGTTATCATTGTATTCTGTTGGGATAAGAGTTTATGAAGTTCTTCAAGCAGTTTGTATAAAAATGTGCTTTAACAGATACAACATTTAGTAAAACAAAAACTGATTTAATCTGGATGCTTTGTTTTTAATCACTGAAATTAATTTTTAGATGTTAAACAAAAATGAAATAATGAATAGAAATTAATCTTCACTTAGAGACCTGTTCTAACGTCTTGCTGAAAATTTTCTACTAAAGACAAAACATGATACTAAATCATTAGTGCTGGAAGTCAGAACTTTGAAAGGTTCTGTTGTTTTGTTCTCATAAATACTCTTACTTTCAAGGAATGTTATGATAACGTTTACTGAAAAGAATTGCCAGGCATATGCCAGTGGCTGCTCTAGCACTGACTTATAAGATAAACTTCCACAGTCTTTGATCATATGCATCTCTCTATTTACTTAGTGTTTATACAGTTTACTAGTATGTAGAAATGTTTCACTGGTATGACTAAGCCAGAATTAGGAAGTGAGTGTTTAATTTCGCATGTTTAAAATATCACTGCTACTTTTGTGCATAAACATTTATGTGAACTTTCTTAATTATTTCCAGACATCTTATTGCTGCTTATTTTTTTTCTCCAAAGAAATATTCTTGGTATCATTAGTTTCTCAAAAAAAGATGTATTTGTTGTTACAAACTTCTAACAATTAACCTTTATCAATTATAAGGGTCGAGCTGGGTTGAAGGAAGTGTTGGCAAGATAACTGATTATCTGGAAACTTTTTAAAAGTCAGTGTTGCTTTAACCTAGCAGGGCTGCTCCCTGCCCCTCGCCCACTGACCCACTGCTCCGTATACTCCAGTTAAGCCATGAAGCACACAGAAGCAGACAATTGAGAAATGAGTTTCCTGTAATTAAGTTACTGTGACTTAGTCCTTGACTCGATGGTCCCCAGTGAGTGGGCAGACTATTTGCTTTTCTGCCACCTCTTCTGTCAAACCCTTTTGAGTCAACAGTTGCGTTTATAAATGTCACTGCTTGCGTTGCGCTATAGGGGGGAAAAAACCCAGGGCTTGGAGAGTTGGTTGTTGCAAAGATGGGAAGTGCGTGTATATCACATGTGAAAATATTTTTCAAGAAGCTTGGGTAGCTATCAAGGAGTGGTAGGCAAACAAATTGAAACAAAAAAACCCCTACCATGATCCATGTATAACCGTTTCTTAACTGTTTTCCTACGACAAGGCTATTATATTCTATTTACAATGGATGCATTTAGAACAATGTGCTATGTCAATACCAGGAAGTGGATTGAGTGTATTTCTGTTTTAGCTTGCAAAGGAATTAGCATTTGTTCTGCTCATGTTTGCTGAAAAGTCACTCTGAAACTTCTAGCATAGTTATTAACCGTTGCAAACTGGGCTGTGAGAGGAGCTACCCCATCCTCTGCGCAAATTCCTCCTCTCGCTTGTGGGGATGCTGCTGTGGTTCCCAGCAACTGCTTGTGGTATTATCTGGAGCTGGGCAATTGTTCATTTGCCAAAAAAAATTAGGGGAACGCTTGTAGATTTTTTCATTATGAATTATCTGTCTTATAGAATTAAAACAACTTTTTTTGAGAGAGCTTCACAAAATTTTGATGAGACGGAATGGTTTTCATGGAAACTGAGTGCTTCATCCTGTGGATTGCTGATTAATTTTTTTTGTCATGATACCTTTGAACAGCTGTTCATAACATAGCTAGGTTTGGCTGAAAGAAACCTGATGATATTTGCCTTAGTACCCATTTGGAAGGCTCCCATGCTCAAATGTTTTTGAGATACCTGTCAAATGCTACCTCAGCAGTAGGTTTATGCAAAACGCTTAGCAAAGGTAGATGGATGCAGGAACCTTTATTAGGCTTCTCCAGTCAGCTTGACTGGTTGTTTTTCTGTGCCTTAAAAAAGTAGACAACTTTGAAGAGAAGGATGTAAGTTAGACTCCCCCAAACTCTTCTTCCTTTCCCCCTTTTCCCTCCATCTTCTTTCATTAAGCAAGAGCCATGGCTTCCCCCAGCTGGATCCTCCCTTACTGACTCTGTGCTTCACACTCGCATCCTGAAGGAAGCCAATGTTACACCTGGGCTTTATAAACAGCCACTGACAAATCCCAGTGGACAACATGCTTATGCCATTGTAAAAGATCCTATAGTAACGGCAGTGTTTTTCCTTGCATTGTGTACCTGATGGCACTAGTGGGAGCCTACCAGCTGTTACTGCTGTTTGTGATGAGACTCATTTCGTTTTATAACTCCTCTGCCTTAAGTTTGCCTGCTATTTCTGCCATAATATAACACTGCACAGGAAAAACATGCAAGGGCAGCCACGTAAATCTGTGGACTGCCCGGTGGATCACGCCCTTCAAGGCAGTGAAGAAAATAGCATCAGCATTTCTATCTCCAAGTTTTGTAAGACTGATTCTTTCACGGCAGGAACACCCAGGGTCTGGTCGTTCAGGTTAGCAAGTGCTGCCTGATGCACAGCAGCACACAGCAACGTACTGTTGTGTGCCGTGGTTATGGGGAGAGCTCTTGTTACACTTTATTATTACTACACCCCTTTGAAGGAAATAAAAAAGTAGATGGTGAAAATGAAGCATCTTTTCTAAAGCTTTTTCAGATCTTAAGTGCCTGTGAAGTC